CACACACACACACACACACACACACACACACACACACACACACACACACTCAAATCAGTTGAGAGCAAATGAAAGCAAGACTAGAAAGCACATTGAAAGTTCTGCAGGTGTGAATGCCATTGAAATGAAGCATTTCAATGTGTTTGGGAAGTAGTGAGCATAAATAAGACTGATTACCAGTTGTGTGTGTGATATGTGTCGTTTCACTTCGGAGAGCGTGCACTTTCTTCCTCTGGTATTGCCGGTGGTGCTTGTGCAGGACGGACAGCCAGAGCCTGATCTGTGAGGCTGAAGCTGCAGAGTCGACAGAAACGTAACAATGTAGAAGACAAAATCCCTCACAGCTGGCCTGTATCTCTTGCTGTCCATCATTTGGTACAAACACAAAATAGAATAAAGAAGAGAAAAAATGGGCTTCGTTTGCAGCTCAAGTTCATGCACACACAATCCGTGGGGGGGGGCTGTAAAGGCCATAGTGCAGCACATTAGCGTGTGGAAAACAACACATTACAGACAAGCCCTGGGAAATTCTCGATTTTCTTTTTTTTTTTAAGCTCTGTATGGTTGGTTTTGAAGGCTTTTGTTGAAATGGACTGCCACTGTCAGTAATGTGTTCAAACAGCTGAGTAAAGCTATTTTTGAATGGGAGACCGGACGTTCCAGGATTAAGCTCCGTGTTGGCCATGCGTCCACCGTGCTGAAGTGTCCTTGAGCAAACGAAGCCTCACCTTGAGAAAACGAATCCTCGCCTCGTCAGCTCCAGAGAACTGTAGCTGACCCGGACCTCTGACACGGGATACAAGTAGAGATTTTCAAATGCATCACATGTATTATCACAGGTCCTTTTATGGCCCTCGGGTCCTACAACGCTGAATAAGACTTGACCCGTAAATCAGTACCGTTTCCCAAAACCATGTCCCGAAGCCATTCTACCATCCAGCGAGGGATTCACTCATCTGCAAAACAGTCACATACACAGCAGGATTACAAACACATGACTATAAAAATTTGTATTTTCCCCAACAACAGCAAGATCCGCAGATGAATGATCCTCAACAGGATTACTATTGCAACAACACATCATCAGTAGGGTAAAACTAACCTGTCTCACGACGGTCTAAACCCAGCTCACGTTCCCTATTAGTGGGTGAACAATCCAACGCTTGGTGAATTCTGCTTCACAATGATAGGAAGAGCCGACATCGAACACACAGAGAAAACACTCAAGCTTGCACACAATTCAACACCTCACTGGATTTCCTTTCACTGTAATCATGGATGCATTACTGACCGGGCCTATTGGGCATTGGCAGGCAGAGCCTCTGTGTCTGTGTGAAGTGACTTTCAACATTTCTTGTTGAAAAGTCAATCAAATGTGAGAGATGTAGAACAACTAAAAACAGACGCAAAGCAACCACAAGAGATGCAAGAAAAGATGACAACAAAAATGCAAGATGACAAAGAAATGCAACATGACTGCAAAAACCAAACGAGTCTACAGAATTACTTGACACTCCAAAGAGATGCAAATGACTACAAAAAAACCCCAAAAAGAAACAACCACAAAGAGACAAAAAGCACCCAGAAGAACAAAGAGACTTTATAGAAAATACCAGAGATGCAAAAACGACCACGAATAGATGCAAAAAGGAGAAAAATTACAAAAGATGCAGCGATGTTTTTTTGCATATGGAGTCCTGCTCTATATGGGGGGCATTTTACTCGTCTGTGCCCAGAGGCCTGTTCTTTCATAATTCGTCCATGAGTGTGTTTCTAGGTCGCATGCGGTCAGTGACAATGTACGTTACCATTCACATAACCCCCCCCCCCCAAACTCTCTGAAAGGCACATGACAGATCAGTGGATTCTCACAATATCATCATCCTCCATTCAGCCTTCTTCTTTCTTTCCTCTCTTTCATTGTCCTTTCATCTGAGTGCATTTAGCCAGAGGCCAATCTGCTCCTCTGCCTCTGATCTCCAAATGTCCTGTCTAATGCCCTCCGCCATTATCACTCCATCCTTCTCTTAGGCTACCATGCTCCCCAATTTCATTTTTGTCATCAGCTCTCAGAAAAGCTCTTCCTCCTTCACCTTCTCTTGCCTCCACCCCCTCCCCCTCCCCCTTCCATCCCTTCATCCGCCGGCTCCGGTAAGTTAATGCTCCAAAGTTAATTGCAGTATATCCGTACTGCAACACACCAAACACAGGATTGGATTAAAGTGTGATTTAATGGATGGAAGGACATCTTCTCCAGTCTGAAACTGATTGTCTCCAGCGACTGCTGGCCATGAGTTGTACTTGTTTTTTGGTGGCTGTGAAAGGTCACAGTTGTAATGGAGTTCAGAGTTCAAATCAAAGCCCTTTTAGCGTGAACATATGTGTTCATGCTGTCTACCTTTTTTCAATGTTTCTGGTTATTTCCCTTCTCTTTCTCTCCTCCAACCAGAATTCCCCCTCTTTCTTCTGTGTCTGCATCCTTCCTTCCTCCCCCCTCTCTCTAACTTTCCTCTCCCTCCATTCCCTGCAATCCCTCCTCCTCCTCCTCCTCCTCCTCAAACATCACACAATCCCCTCCTATCCCAATCCAGCGCACCCTCACTCTCTCCCTCCCTCTTCCTTTATCTCTCACTTCCTCTCTTTCTCCCCTTCATCTCACCTCCAGCCAGCCGGAGCACCCTCCTCCTCTTCCTCTTGGATCCCACAGCCCGCCTGCTCTCATCCACTTTCTCTCTCTCTCTCTCTTTCTCTTTATACCTCTCACTCTCTCTGCTTTCTCTTGTCTTTTATCGCTCTCTCTGTCTCTTTCTGTCTTTCTGTCCTTCACTTCTCTTCAGCCGCCAGAAGCTCGCAAGCTCGTCGCTCTTCCTTCAACTACTGAGGATTCAGAAGCACTCGGGACGAAGACCCTGTCACTGGAGGTAAGTGTCCACAGTATGT